TCAGCAAAATACGCAATATTCTTTGGAAAAACAAATTGAAACCAAGGCAACTGTGACGATATTCAACTCAAATGACTATTACAGATTCACCGATTGAATGTGCAGAACTCAACTCTCTCTTACAAACGGCGAATGAGATTACTCGGGCACTTCTCATCCGATGGCATCTTCATGCAAGAGACTGTCAGCTTCAGATCTGTCACATAACTCAGCCGAATCAATGACTTGTCTTCCTCAGTGTGTGTCTGTTAGGCTAGAAGATGTTGCAGCCATGTTTACCACATTATTCTGACTCCACATCACATATATATTGACTGTTGTTTGAATCCAGGAAGTAATTCTGCTGCTTTTACTTCATTTTAAGTATTTTGCATTCAGTTCAAGGAGACCGGGGCAAGTTGTCACAAGGCAAAGATACATTGCGTTAAAAGTGGTTGAGTGAAACACCAGTTTGTTTTGTTCTTTTTATTTTGATAGTATTACATATTTCACTGTCAGCTAACTTATATCGGTAACACTTTACAATAAATATATTAACTAATTGAGAAATACTGTATTTGTTAATCTTGGTTAATAAAAATACAGCTGTGAATTGTTAGTTCACAGTGCATTCACTACACTCTAAAAAATGCTGGGTTGTTTCAACCCAAAGTTGGGTCAAATATGGACAAACCAAAATGTTGGGTTAAAATTTAATTAAAAAAATGTAGCCTACAGTTGAAAGTGAAAGTTGACGTTTTAATTTTAAATTAAATTAATTTTAAATTACATTTTTAACTCAACATTTGGGTTTGTCCATATTTTACCCAAATTTGGGTTGAAACAACCCAGCCTTTTTTAGAGTGTAACAAGTTTTAAGAACATAAATCATTGACATGTTCTGAAGGGATAGAATTAATTATAGCTTGTGTTTCTAGTATGTAATTATAATCTGGTACAATAGCACAAACAAACCCAATGGCTGGGTTACATTTTAATTAAAATTTTTAACCCAGCGTTTGGGTTTGTCCATATTTGACTCAAAATTGTATTATGTGCAGTTCATCATTAGTTCATGCTATCTAATCACTCTAAAAAATGCTCGGTTGTTTCAACCCAAATTTGGGTCAAATATGGACAAACCAAAATGTTGGGTTAAAAAAAATGCCATTAAAAAAATGACAGTCGAAAGTGAAAGTAACATTTTTAACCCAATATTTGGGTTTAACCATATTTGACCAAAGCATTGTTTAGAGTGTTAACTATTAATAGTTTATAATGTTAACTAATGTATTGTAAAATGTTACCCGTATATCATTGAGTGTGACAACATGCCCCGCTATAGATACAGTAGAGCAACACCAATGCTTGAACTGATTAAATGTAAACATTAAGCATCTGCCAAATGTAAAATGTAAATGTATTTTTTCAACACACCATGAGAAATATTCCCTGGATTTGGAAAGTGTGACAACTTGCCCCGGTGTGTCCAGCACATGCAACAGATGAACAGCATTAAAGGGAGAGACTGTCAGATATCTGAACGCAGGAGATATGGAAGACGAGATGATGTAAACTAACGAACTATCCTCTTTGGAGATGTTCAGTCGGGAAACGTACTTTATGTCCGGTCTCCATACAGACATTTTTGTTCAATATGGTTTCAAGCAATAAAACAAACAATAAAAGGCAACAGAACATCAAATACATCAGAAGAAGAACAAGGCAAAATTATACAGTGCATTTCTCACATAAAATAGTGCATTCAAAAGAGTAGATTCATGAATGATTCAACTAGTTTGTTTACGTTCAACATCATCTGGCCCTCATGTTTTCAGACGACATGAACTGTTTATGATTGTGAAGCAGACACATTACGTTATTAAACGGTTTATGTACACTGTTTTTAGAAATTGCTTTGGAAGTGTCTTTAGGAAAAGATTTTTCTTTCAGCAGAAAATAGGCTTTTTTCCATTTAAAGAATATACATTCTTTCTTAATATTCCTAATTTATCAACATGCAAGTTAGGTGTGTCTTAAAAAATTGTAAACTTGAGAGAAAGTGATATTTTATATTTCTTATGTACTTGAAGTGAATGGTGTTCATTTAGGGAGTATTGTGATGGACATTAAGTGACCTGGTGTAAAAAGACATTTTGAAATTCACAAGCTGTCGTGAAATACATTCACAATGAACACGGAAGGGATCCTTCATCCAAAATCTCTCATTATTTACTCCTCGCCCCCATGTTTATCAGCAACTTACATTTCACTATACCTGTCAGAAGGCTTGGAATACGAGTCCAATAAACGATAAATAACACTTTGATTCAGTTTGGGTCACAAACCTTACACACCTACAATGCAATGCAAGTCGCTCTGGATAAAAGATTCTGCCAAATGCATCCATGTAGATGTACACTTATGTGTAGTTTTGGCCTTTTTGGAGCTTGACACACTGTAAAAAAAAAATATTGTTGGTTCAACTTAAAAAAGTAAGTAACCTGGTTGACTTAAAATTTTAAGTTGATTGAACTGGAAAAAGTGAGTTAATACAATGAAGGAGATTAATTTAACCATCAGAAACTCAAAATAATAAGTTATCTCAACTTAATGAATTATTTAAATTGATTTGACAAAAGAAAATATGTTGTGATAACAAATCTTGAAAATATTTTTTACAGTGCAGATGCACAGAAGCAAACAACTCAAGACACAAGAGTGAGTAAACCATGACAGAACGTTCGGGTTATTTTTCGGTGAACGATCCCTTTAAAAGGATTACTTCACTTCAGAATTAAAATCTCCTGATCATTTACTCTCCCCCACGTCATCCAAGATGTTCATGTTTTTCTTTCTTCAGTGGAAAAGAAATGAAGGTTTTTGGGGAACACACTCCAGGATTTCTCCATATAGTGACTTCAATGGGGTCCAAACGGGTCAGATGTGAGTTTCACTGCAGCTTCAAAGTCTCGACACGATCCAGCCGAGGAATAAGAGTCTGATCTAGACAAACCAGCGACATTTACAACAAAACACACATTTGTATACTTTAACCACTTATGCTGGTCTTGCACTTGTTGCATCACAGCTCGAAACTCACATCTGGACCTTCGACCCGTTGGACCCCATTGAAGTCACTATATGTGTTCCTCAAAAACCTTCATTTCTTTTCCACTGAAGAAAGGAAGAACATCTTGGATGACATGGAGGAGAGGAAATGACCAGGAGATTTTAAAGGGATAGTTCACTTTGAAATTAATTTTTGATATGTTTTATCTTCCCTCAAGGGCATCCAAGATACAAGTGTCTTTGTTTCCACAGTATTTTCAATTTTGACATTTTTCAGTCAAACCGTTGTTGTCTATCAGTCATACACTGGAGGCTAAGGGGGTCCACCAAAAAGCAGCACAGAGAAGTCCAAATTAAACATGATTTAATGACTCGTAAATGTAAGTACACATTGATGGCCTAAGACACGAAACGAGCGGTTTGTGTGAGAAAACCAACAGTATTTATATGTTTTTTACCTCTTGTAATCATAGCCATGACAAAATGATCTGACGGCAGGGGCGCTTCGGTCTGTGCATGCGTCGGAAGTGATCGCTACGTCACTCTTTGTTTATACTAGGGATGCACGATATATCGGCCAGCATATCGGTATCGGCCGATATATGTTCATTTTTAATGTTATCGTTATCGGCCAAAAAGTGGCCGATATATTAAAGCTGATAAATTAAAGCTTCAGCTGAGACACTTGTTGAGCACTGTTTATGTTTTTTAATTTCTTGAAATATGATTGAAATCTCTTCAACAAATGAAAATACGGTTCGGTACAACATGTGCAGCGCAAATCTGTCATATCGGCTATACAACACTATAGCTTGGACATGGATTTAATTGTGAGACTTTTGTTTTTGTAATCACGCTCTCAAAATTAGAAATTAATTTGGATTTAAGTTAAGTTTATCGGCCGATATATCGGTTACCGGCTTTCAAATATAAAGAATTATCGGTTATCGGTATCGGCCAAAATTTTCATATCGGTGCATCCCTAGTTTATACAGAGATTTGGGAAGTTTTACCTTTCACTAAACATATTTAGATATACGGGAAACCGCAATGGAAGACGATTTCGGTATATCTAAATATGTTTAGTAAAAGGTAAAACTTCCCAAATCTCCGTGTAAATATTGAGAGACGTCACACGCAAGCGATCACTTCCGGCGTAACATTGAACTGATTCAGTTCGGTTCAGTTGGACATTGAACAACTGATTCAGATCACTTGGATTACACGAGGTAAAACGATATAAATACTGTTGGTTTTCTCACACAAACCGCTCGTTTCGTGTCTTAGGCCATCAGTGTGTACTTACATTTACGAGTCATTAAATCATGTTTAATTTGGACTTCTCTGTACTTCTTCTGTGTTGAAAATACTGCGGAAACAAAGACACCTACATCTTGGATGCCCTTGAGGTAAGATAAAACATATCAAGTGAACTATCCCTTTAAATCTGAAGTGAACTACTCATTTAACTAGTGAGATGCAAATCCAGAAAATGTTCTTAAAGATGAAAATGCACCACATGTGAAACGATAAACACGTGTCTCTCCTCCATCCTTACGTCGACCTGATGGATAAGTAGGGTTGGGTATCGAGAATCGAGTATCGATTGGAACCGAGACTAACTTTTCGTTTTTCCCGGAATCGTTCAAAAGTTAAAATTTCGATTCCTAGTTTCGATATTCACAGTCCGCCGAGCGTAAGAAGAAACCGCTGAACAACACCAATGAAGAAGCGTCTACCGGAAGTGTTGGCATAACCGCGCGAGTTGAACATGAGAAACATGAACATTTAGAAACATGAACATTTCTAAAAATAACGAAATATCGGCAAAATGCAAAATTTGTGACAAAAGGAGTATTTTTACAGAAGGAGTATTTCCTTCAGAAAGGCCATTGGTTAGCAAGGTTAGCTAAACTTTTTTGACCCTGCCTCTTAAAAGAATCGGAATCGAGAATCGTTAGGAACCGGAATCGAAACAAGGAATCGGAATCAGAATCGTTCAAATTCAAACGATACCCAACCCTATGGATAAGGCTCTGAGAAGTCATCTCCAACGTTTGCCGTCTCCACCTTTCTTCCGCTCGTGGAGTTGAGCTTGTAAGTGAAACCCTGCTTCTTAAACACACAGGTGCTCACAAATACAGTCTAGCCGACACAATCTCACGAAAGCGCGTATCTGTAGCACAAATTTGATTTCTCGTGCCATTTATACGCAAAAAAAGTAGTTTTCATACGCACTGTAAACCCCTTGGGTAGGATTAGGGGTGTGGAGCGAGTCCATAAAGTGCGTATCATATGCACGCAAAAACTATTAATGGTATGAGAAATAAAATTTGTGCTATAGATACACATCTTCATGAGATGGGGCTGGTCTAGCGCTGGTCGTAACAAAGTCCCACGTGGTTTCAGAGTTCTTAAAGATGAAAATGCACCACATGTGTCTCTCATCCATCCTGATGGATAAAGCTCCTAGATGTCGTTTCCAACACTCAAGCTTTTGCCGTCTCCACCTTAAAGATGAAAACACGCCAGATGTGAAACGGTCTCTCCTCCGTCTTTACGTCAAGGCTCCCAGAGGCATTTTCTCTCTTCTTCCGCTCGTGGAGTCGTGCTTGTGAGTGAAACTCTGCTTTTTAAACACGCAGGTTCCCACAAATACAGTCTGACGCTGGTTTGTAAAGACTTCCGGAGTGGTTTCACTTGGGTCCGGTCCAGCCTCGGTCCCCGTACGCGCCGTCTCCGGTGGCTGAATGAGGCGACGGGACACACAGATCGGAGTCCGTGTCCGACTCGCCCTCCGCGATGTACGACCTCACTTTAGCGCAGCGCGGCACGCCGCTAAAATAAGCGTTGTTCATAAAGTCCAGGTTTTCTTTGGACTGCGAGATGCTGAATCCGCTGAAGGAGCGTTCCAGTTCCTCGTGATCCACGGACGGGATTGATACGGACGTGTCGCTCTCGGCTCCGGCTTGGGAAAGGCGCCCGTCTTCGCGGGAATGGTGTGCGCGAGATCCTCCGTTGTGTCCGTTGGACGAGCGCTCGTGTGCCGGAGGCGGAGGGATACGCACTAGCGAAGCGGGATCGGGGATCGGGCCGGGATCAGGGATGGTTTGTGGATGCCGGGACGTGGACGGAGGACAGTGGTGATTGACGCATGTGGAGGTCGGCGGGTCGAAGTTCTTCTGTCCCGCTGAGCTGTTGGACCGGATGATTTTGGTGATGGATCCGCTCTTCTCCATGTGCTCCACCGGACTGTGGTACGGAGGCGCCGGGTCGGGCTCCTTAGAGGCGAAGTAGGCGTCCGTCTCGGACTGCGGGATTCCCATGCGCTGGATGTAGATGTTCACCAGGAAATCCAGCTTTCTCTCCATTGACATCACCTGCAGAAGAGGAAGATCTCATTGTCTTTTTATGACATAATCCTATGGCACTTTTCCACTGCATGGTACGGCTCGGTATGGTTCAGCGCGGCACGGCTCGGCACGCTTTGGCACGGTACAGTTCTGCTCGGTACGGTTCAGAAGGACTCGACACGGCACGGCTTGGTACAGTTTGGTACGGCTCGGCACGGCATGGCACGGCTTGGCTCTGTACGCATCGGCATGGTACAGTTCGGCTCGGTACGGCTCGACACGGCTTGGTATGGCTTCGGTACGGCTCGGTACAGCATGGCTCAGCTTGGCATGGTATGGCTTGACACGGCTTGGTATGGTTTGATACAGCATGGTACGGTTTGGCACGGCTCAGTACGGCACGGCTCGGCACGGTTCGGTACGGCTTGGTATGGTTCGATATGGCTCGGTACAGCACGGCTCGACACGGCTTGGTACGGCTTGGCATGTCACGGCACGGCTTGGCACGGTACGGCTCGACACGGCTTGATACGGTTCGGTACGGCTCGGCACGGCTCAGCACAGTACGGCTCGGCTTGGTACGGTTTGGTATGGCTCGACACGGCTTGGTATGATTTGATACGGCATGGTACGGTTCGGCACGGCATGGTACGGTTTGGCACGGCTTAGTACGGCACGGCTCAGTACGGCTTGGTATGGTTCCATACGGCTCGGCACGGCATAGCTCAGTACGGCTCGACACGGCTTAGTACGGTTCGGTACGGCTCGACACAGCTTGGTACGGTTCGGTACGGCTCAGCACGGCTCAGCACAGTACGGCTCGGCTTGGTACGGTTCGGTATGGCTCGACACGGCTTGGTATGGTTTGATACGGCATGGTACAGTTCGGCTCGGTACGGCTCGACACGGCTCGGTATGGCTTCGGTACGGCTCGGTACAGCATGGCTCAGCTCGGCATGGTATGGCTTGACACGGCTTGGTATGGTTTGATACAGCATGGTACGGTTTGGCACGGCTCAGTACGGCACGGCTCGGCACGGTTCGGTACGGCTTGGTATGGTTCGATATGGCTCGGTACAGCACGGCTCGACACGGCTTGGTACGGTTCGGTACGGCTCGACACGGCTTGGTATGGTTTGATACAGCTTGGTACGGTTCAGTATGGCTCTGCATGGCATGGCTCGATACAGCACGGCTCGACACGGCTCGACACGGCTTGGTACGGTTCGGTGCGGCTCGACACAGCTTGGTACGGTTCGGTACGGCTCAGCACGGCTCAGCACAGTACGGCTCGGCTTGGTACGGTTCGGTATGGCTCGACACGGCTTGGTATGGTTTGATACGGCATGGTACAGTTCGGCTCGGTACGGCTCGACACGGCTCGGTATGGCTTCGGTACGGCTCGGTACAGCATGGCTCAGCTCGGCATGGTATGGCTTGACACGGCTTGGTATGGTTTGATACAGCATGGTACGGTTTGGCACGGCTCAGTACGGCACGGCTTGGCACGGTTCGGTACGGTTTGGTATGGTTCGATATGGCTCGGTACAGCACGGCTCGACACGGCTTGGTACGGTTCGGTACGGCTCGGCACGGCTCAGCACAGTACGGCTCAGCTTGGTACGGTTCGGTATGGCTCGACACTGCTTGGTATGATTTGATACGGCATGGTACGGTTCGGCACGGCATGGTACGGTTTGGCACGGCTCAGTACGGCTTGGTATGGTTCCATACGGCTCGGCACGGCATAGCTCAGTACGGCTCGACACGGCTTAGTACGGTTCGGTACGGCTCGACACAGCTTGGTACGGTTCGGTACGGCTTGGTACGGTTCGGTATGGCTCTGCATGGCATGGCTCGATACAGCACGGCTCGACACGGCTTGGTACGGTTCGGTGCGGCTCGACACAGCTTGGTACGGTTCGGTACGGCTCAGCACGGCTCAGCACAGTACGGCTCGGCTTGGTACGGTTCGGTATGGCTCGACACGGCTTGGTATGGTTTGATACGGCATGGTACGGTTCGGCACGGCATGGCTCAGTACGGCACGGCTCAGCACGGTTCAGTATGGCTTGACACGGCTCGGTACGGCTTGGTACGGTTCAATACGGCACGGCTCAGCTTGGCACGGTACGGCTCGACACGGCTTGGTACGGTTCGTTATGGCTCAACACGGCTTGGTATGGTTTGATACGGCATGGTACGGTTTGGGACGGCATGGCTCAGTACGGCACGGCTCGGCACGGCTCGGCACGGCTTGGTACGGCTCGGTTGGAAAAAAATGAGATCTCTGAGATCCTGATATCTTGCTCTTCTGGAGACTCCAGGTAGGTTGCAGCTCTGGAAAATGGTGGTAATTGTTCAGCTTAATTCTTTTGCAGTTAACATGAGTCTTTTTGTCTGATCCTGCTGACCCAGTGAGCATTTCCCTGTCCAATGGTCATTGCCTTAACTGCAATTTCTAGTATTGCATTAGTATTGCATCCTTCTCATGGGCATTTAATAATTTTTGACTTGTCAGTCTGAGGTAAAACCTCTTTTTAGCTTATTTTATCTGTCAAAGAAAACGTGCCTAATAATTATGCACAAGGTGTTTTTCATTTCCAACCTTGGAAATGCCCACTAGAATGTCATTCTTTGATTTTATATTACTATAATTAATTTATTTCATTACACTATAAACGCAACATAGTAGCCTTGTGAAGGGTGCCTAACAACCTCTCAATGTTTTAACACACTTTTAAAATGAATCTTCTCTTATAAGACATTACGAATAACCATTTTAAATGTATTCCTTTCTCCTTAAACGATCTTTAAAGGAGCATTTCACCCATTTCAACATTAATCGTTATCGAAAGTGGATCATATATGTAGTCGAAATGTGGTGCCCTCTTGACCGGATATTGACTTGACTGGATATTGATATGAGTTTCTACAATCTGTAATGGGCCTGTAGGGTGAGTGGGTCCCACACCCTGGAATAATAATGAGCTAATGTTTGTAGTCTCTACACTTTTCAATGAAATGTGTCTTTCTGCTTATTATGACGCAAAATGACGATTTTTACGTCATGAAGCATGAAGTAAAACACTTAAATCCTTATTTCTCCCATATCAGGGGAAAATAAGGGAATAAACCATGAGGGTTTCTAAAGATACAAAGCTTAATGCAAATGGTTGAAATGTCCCTGACTGGTTCAGTGTAAACGAGTGATTGCGATGTACCTGTTTCTCCACTTTCCCGAGTCGCCCCATCATGCTGGGATCCTCCGGCAGTTCTCCATCTGTGGTTCCTTTAGGACGATCCTTGTCTGTAATCGGAGCGCCTCGACCAACAATCTGATCCACTCTAACAATCAATTAAAGAGAGGAAACATCTTGATAATTCATGAGTTTTTCCTGCAAACATCTCTTATAGGGGGAAATATGAGATAGTGATTCTTTATACATGGACAAAAACGCTTTTTTGATATAATCACCAATTATCAAGTACAGATTTGTATTGAGTTTTGTTTCAAAATGCATCAAACGAACATCTATTTCCATTAGCGGTTCATCGTTAGTAACCCAAAGTTTTACAACAACAATATTCATATCAAAGAAACAATAAACCATGTATTCTATCTTGAAGCACAAAGCATTGTGGGATGTAAATGAATGCATGCAGAGGGAGGGATATGATAATGAGACAGATTGACAGAGATGATTGGACAGAAAGAGTCAGACGTTTTCTGTTGATATTTGCCATTTTTGAACAATGTGTCAACGTGAAATCACATCTTTAGCTGCGTATTACATGTAGAATGCGAATGTAAGCATCAGTTTGACACATTATCCAAAGATTCAGATGATAAGCTACACTAGCAGGGGTGCGTCTGATCTGAGACACTAGATACGGTTTTCATCAAAGCATCAGAAATATTATATCACGTCCAATATGCTCCAGATATGCTCAGCAGAGCGCTGGAGTCAAGCATGCCCTGCTGAGACCGTATGAAGAAAATCGCACTTGCGAAAGAATAAAAATAGTGCGTCATGTGGCATGCCTGAAACAACGCCATGCATTAGCAACAGCGATGCTAAATGAAATTAAAACCATTTTTTGGACGTGTGCATCTCCATTTGCTGCTTCTCACTGCCGTAACGCTTCATTTCCAAACAGCGGTGCAGGCAAACTAGCTTAACCAGGTTTAGTTCAGCTACATGACTAGTAACTCACCGAAACGTGACATTTGGTCCCACTGCTTTTCTCTCAACAAAGCAGCGTCTCTTGTGATTAGCTCAGTCACAACAAACAAAAGTCCATTAAGAGTTGATTATCAGAAGCTGCCTGGAGCGTTTGGGCCGTTTCAACGCTAATAGACTCTTAGAAGAAAAGGTTCCATTTAGAACATCAAAGGAATCATTTTGTGGAATAAGTTTTAATTAATACATTTTTAATGAATTTATATCGTTTTTTTAATTATAATTATTATTAAAGGTTTAGTTCACCTCAAAATGACAATTTCCTGATAATTTACTCACCCTAATGACATCCAAGATTTTCAGTGGAAAGTTTTTTGAGGAAAACATTTCTGGATTTTATAGACATGTTTAAAATAAAAACAACAACAAAAGTATTAAAACTTTAAATGAAAACAGGAAGTATAGAAATCTAGTTTTAGTGAAAACTATAATATGGAAAACAAAGCTAAACTCTTTTTTATTTAGTTTATCTTGATGAACTTAAATAACTAAAATGAAATACGAATAAAATAAATATACAGAGGATCGTTTTAAAAACACACAACATAATTATTAAAACTTTAACTAGAATTAAAAACAAAAACAGGAAATATAAAAATTAAAACTAATTCAGAATATTAACAAAAACTGTAACATTAAAAATCAAAGCATTATTTTAACTGAACTTTTAACTGACATTAAAAATACAATAAAAACCTAGATTTAATAAAAAAAATATATATTAAAACTAACTAATACGAATAAAATAAATATATAAAGATCTTTTTAAAAACACACAACATAAATATTAAAACTTTAACTAGAATTAAAAACAAAAACAGGAAATATAAAAATTAAAACTAATTCAGAATATTAACAAAAACTGTAACATTAAAAATCAAAGCATTATTTTAACTGAACTTTTAACTGACATTAAAAATACAATAAAAACCTAGATTTATTTAATAAAAAAAATAACAAAAAAAAACAAATTATTAAAACTAACTAATACGAATAAAATAAATATATAAATATCTTTTTAAAAACACACAACATAATTATTAAAACTTTAACTAAAATTAAAAACAAAAACAGGAAATATAAAAATTAAAACTAATTCAGAATATTAACAAAAACTGTAACATTAAAAATCAAAGCATTATTTTAACTGAACTTTTAACTGACATTAAAAATACAATAAAAACCTAGATTTATTTAATAAAAAAAATAACAAAAAAACAAATTATTAAAACTAACTAATACGAATAAAATAAATATATAAATATCTTTTTAAAAACACACAACATAATTATTAAAACTTTAACTAGAATTAAAAACAAAAACAGGAAATATAAAAATTAAAACTAATTCAGAATATTAACAAAAACTGTAACATTAAAAATCAAAGCATTATTTTAACTGAACTTTTAACTGACATTAAAAATACAATAAAAACCTAGATTTATTTAATAAAAAAATAACAAAAAAACAAATTATTAAAACTAACTAATACGAATAAAATAAATATATAAAGATTATTTTAAAAACACACAACATAATTATTAAAACTTTAACTAGAATTAAAAACAAAAACAGGAAATATAAAAATTAAAACTAATTCAGAATATTAACAAAAACTCCAACATTAAAAATCAAAGCATTATTTTAACTGAACTTTTAACTGACATTAAAAATACAATAAAAACCTAGATTTATTTAATAAAAAAAATTACAAAAAAACAAATTATTAAAACTAACTAATACGAATAAAATAAATATATAAAGATCTTTTTAAAAACACCCAACATAATTTTTAAAACTTTAACTAAAATTAAAAATAAAGGCCGAAGTTTTTTTTAAGTTTTTTTTTTTTAGAAAATGACCGTTTTTTTCGCTAGATAAGACCCTTAAAAAAATCCAGAAATGTTTTCCTTTAAAAAACGTAATTTCCTTTCCACTGAAGAAAGAAAGACATGAACATCCTGGATGGCATTGGGGTAAGTAAATTATCAGGAAATGTTCATTTTGAGGTGAACTACTCCTTTAATACACCATCTTTCGAGCCTAAAATAGAGCCTTTTTTCTCTAAGAGTGGAGTTAGTGGTCCCTGATCACTCCAGCTCAGTGTCTACTAGCCATGTAGTCTGAAACAGAAGCAGGTTTCTTCACTTGTGTCTGGATAGAGATCTGGCGATGCAGTCTGGGGCGTCCTAACCTAGAAGACAACAGGGGCGACTCTTTGGTTCCTTTGGCTGAACCCTTCTTTTGGCGAGGGGTGCTGGGACCCGGAGGACCCGGAGGACCCGGAGGACCCAATATCATATCTAACCTGGCAAACAAATAGAGTAGAGGACAGCACAATGCAGAGTGACGTGATCCGGACCGGCGCAAACGTCAGGACCCTCGACGGGACACGGGGAGAAACACACACCAACAACAACAAGCCCAGACTCCAAGAAAACATATTCCAGACATACTTATTATTACGATACAAAGCTCCCTGATCGTCAGCCATCAACGTGTGCTGAAAGTATGCCATTAATGTTTTCAAAATATAAAAGCAGGAAAATATTTACATTCTTTCAGGATTCCCCTAAAATAACATGGATGTGACTGAAATACTGGAACAGGTGTAAAAAAGAAAGAATTAAATAAATGTTTTTGCTTTATTGGACTCAGAGTTTTCACTAAAATATTTTGAATTAGTTAAGTTTTAATTTATTATTTTTTTTTTTTAATTAATACTTTGTCATTTTGTTGCCATTTTTTAGTAATATTTTTTTCTGTGAAACTGCATTTCAATTATTTTTGAATAAATTAATAGATTTGGACATATAAAAATTAGGGCTGTCAAACGATTAATCACATCCAAAATAAAAGTCTGTGTTTACATAATATAGCCTATGTGGGTGCACTGTGTATAATTATTTTGTATATATATATATATATGAAGAGTTCAGATGCAAAAGCCTCTAAATGCCATTTGAAATTTTCTTCTAGAATGATCATTTTTATCAAGCTTGTATATTTAAGTTCAGTAATTTCACTTAAATGACAATTAATAGGTAATCTTCATTGCCATTTCAGTGAAATTACTGAACTTAAATATACAAGCTTGATAAAAATTATCATTCTAGAAGAAAATGTCAAATGGCATTTAGAGGCTTTTGCATCTGAACTCTTCATATATATATATATATCACACACATGCATGTATATTTAAGAAAAAATATTATTTATTTATAAAATATTTATATTTATATATAATCTATATACAGTATATACATGAAATATTTCTTAAATATATACAAGCATGTGTGTGTATTTATATATATATAAAATAATTATACACAGTGCACCCACATATACTACACTCTAAAAAATGCTGGGTTGTTTTAACCCAATTTTGGGTCAAATATGGACAAACCCGAAATGTTGGGTTAAAAATGTAATGTAAAAATTTAACCCAACGGCTGGGTTAGTCCATATTTGACCCAAAGTTGGGTTAAAACAACCCAGCATTTTTTAGAGTGTATGTAAACACAAACTTTTATTTTGGATGCGATTAATCGCGATTAATCGTTTGACAGCCCTAATAAAAATCATTACTGACCCACGTATGCTGCTCTGATAGCTCGATATTTTATCTCAATAAATGAAAATGTAGTTAATGTTCCTTAAACACACACATTATGCCACTGAAGTGAAGTGTTTGGGTGTTGTATATGTACATATTCTGACAGATATGCAAACAGTGAAAGACATTTAGGAAACTAAGCCATGCAGAACACAGAAGAACAACACTATACGGTGTGTGTGTGTGTGTGGAGCGGTCAGGCGTTTCTGTTCTTGCCTGGACTGCAGATTTTTAATCCTCGCCAACATGTCGAGATGTCCGGCTGAATATTGCTCTATGACGTCCATCACGTCATACGGCCGAAGACTCTCCTTAAACTTGCGCTTGGACACCATGAACCTCATGATGCTGCGGGGACAAACAATTCACACACATTATCACTGTTAAACACCCTGAACACACAGACATCTGTGTGAATCTCAGAGAGCCGGGCCAGGGTCATATTTCACAACAAAAACAAAGAAATGAGAACATATATTTTGCTTTCTACGGCCCATTTGTTGTTTTAGTTTTCACTAGTATTTGGCCATATTTTCTGTTTTATTTTTATTTTAGTTAGTTTTAATCATTTTGTTGTATGTTTTGCCATTTTTGTTATTTTTTTATTAAATAAATCAAGGTTTTTATTTAATTTTTTTATTTGAGTTAAAAGTTCAGTTAAAATAAAAATGAGAAATGTTGCCTTGATTTAGTCTTTATTTTTATATTTCCTGTTTTCATTTTTAATGTTAGTTGAAGTTTTAATAATTTTATTGTGTGTTTTTAAAAAGTATTTATTTTATTCATATTTCAGTTCATCAAGAAAAACTGAATAAAAATAAGTTTAGCTTTGTTTTCCATATTATAGTTTTCACTAAAACTTTATTTCTATACTTCCTGTTTTCATTTAAAGTTTTAATAATTTTGTTGTTTGTTTTGTCATTTTTATTAGATTTTATTATTTTAACGTGTCTATAATTTAAATAATATTTCAGTTTTAGTAATTTTAGTTTGGGTTAAATAAAAAAAAAACAGAGAAATTACCTTGGTTTTAATTTTTGTCACTATTATAGTTTTTGTCAATATTTTGAATTAGATTTATTTTTTTATTTCATGTTTTTTTTATCACAATCATTTTATTGTTTTTGTTATTTTTTATTAGTTTTAAATATGTCTATAGTTTTTAATAACAAAATAAAATAGTTTTATTTATTATTTTATTAATCTAAATAAAAATGAGAAATTTTGCCTTGGTTTTCAATATTATAGTTTTCACTAATATTCTCAATTAGTTTTTCTTTTATATATATATATATATATATATATATATTATTTTTTTCATTTATTAATTTTCTTGTGTGTTTTGTCCTTTTAATTTTACTATTATTATTTTTTAATATGTCTAGCCAATATCGTGGAATTTTTATCTTAGTTTCGGTTTAAGTTATTTTAGTTCAAATCAACCTAAATAAAAATGAGAAATGATGCCTTGGCAACTATCTAAAAATAAATACGTTTAAGGATTTATTTATTTCAAATAAATGTTACTTGGGTTTAGTCCATATGATTTTTGCCATTGATTTTGCAGTAAAATATGACCTGAACATCTGGTTTTCGTGAGATTTAGTCCTGAACCGAGTCCAAGACACTGCTATCTATTTTTGCGTTTGATACTGACCTTCAATATTCAACATATCTCATGCATATAAGCGTCGCTGACATGATCTGAGCAATGAAAGTGTGAATGTAAGGATTCAAAAGACTGAATGTAACTTACATTCAGGATAGTCTGAGTTAATGAGGTAATATTATGTGATGCAGACTTCTCTAGTATTATCAATAATATTACACGTGTGATGGAGCATTACGTCCCTTCTGAGTGATGCTGCCTGTCTCATCTTTGCTTACCACACGGCCCTGATGGTAACTTTTAGTCCCGGCGTTAAATCCTGAGGGACAAACTCACAATGGCAGCTCTTATTGTCATCAACAATGTCTTCTCCGGGAAGGCTGGCTTCTAAAAAACACAACACGGACAGGAGGACTCTGGAGTTAGTGCACAAACCCCCTGACCCTGCATTCAACTCGCTCAGGCCCACACCAGAGAGGGCAGTGCCATGCCATTCGTCAGCGGTGGACTGGTGCGAGACGAGCATTATGGGGGATCTGAGACAACCGTGGCCCGAAACACAGTGACCCCAAAACACACCTGGACAAAGTTAACCTGGATGCTTCAGATCATAAAACATCAAATCAAGTGCTATTTCATTTTAAAAGATGCTTTTACTCTTTTTATGTTTCTCAATCAAGTCTCTTCTGCTCACCAAGGCTGAATTAATTTGATCATTTTTAAAAAATAATATTAAAAAAAAAAGTTTTCTATGCGAATATATAGTAGTGTCATTTTCAGCATCATTACTCCAGTCTTCAGTGTCACATGACCCTTCAGAAATCACTCATTCATTATCAATGATGAAAATGGTTCATATGTTTGTGGAAACCATTCAAACGTTTGGGGTCAGTACGATCTTAAAAGAGAAAAAAAATTGGAAATCAATACTTTTATTCAATAAGGATGTATAAATTGATCATAAGTGACAGTAAAGACTTTCTGTTCTTTTTTTTTTTTAAGTATTTCAAATAAATTCTGTTCTATTTGAACTTTATATTCATCAAAGAATCCTTAAAAAGAATTTTTCCACAAAAAAATATATATAAAAAACTGTACATTAATAATGATGAGAACCATTATTAATAACCGACCAGCATAACTGATTATAATTGAGCATCAGATCCTCATATTAGAGTGATTTCTGAAGGATCATGTGACACTGAAGACTGGAGTAATGATGCTGAAAACCACAGGAATAAATTACACTTTATTATATATTCACATAGAAAACAGTTATTTTAAATTTGAATAATATTTCACAATTTTTACTATATTTTTTTAACCAAATAAATGCAGCCTTGATGAGCAGAGGAGCTTTCAAAAACATTAAAAAAATGGACAACCACAATGTTTGTGTTTGTTATACATTAGTGAAACATCATTGATCTGAGACACTTGGTTTGATATTTGGTCTCGAATGCAGTGACATTCAGACGTGTGTAAGCGTGACTTAACGTCCAAACACATTGTTGAGGTTTTTGCTAATATAACAAGCAAACGGCAATAAACTACGTCATATCATTTAACTAATATTTCTTCAGACTCATTTTGGATTCAGTGAAAATCCATTTAGCGAAGCTGATCAGTCGAAACACACTATTTAACAAACTGTTAATATGAGTTAAAGGAGTAGTTCACTTTTTTAAAAAAAACTTTTGCTGATAATTTACTCACCCCCATGTCATCCAAGATGTCCACGTCTTTCTTTCTTCGGTCGAAAAGAAATTAAGGTTTTTGATGAAAACATTCCAGGATTTTCTCCATATAATGGACTTCAATGGGGACCAAACGGTTCAAGGTCCAAAAGACAGTTTCAGTGCAGCTTCAAAGGGCTTTAAACGACACCAGACGGTCTATTTATTACTAAAAAATATAACCATATAAATAAATAAATGAGTGGTCATTTAAAAAATAAATTAAGTTTTATAAGCTCAAATGCTCGCCTTGCTCTGTTCTGTGATGCGCGTTCGTGAATCTCCTGTTCGAACTCGTTCATCAAAATGAACTAATCTTTTTTCGAGTCATTCCGTTTACATTTCGTTCACTGAATGAACCAAATGACTCGGAAAAAGATTCGTTCAACAGGAGAGTCACGAACGCTCATCACAAAACTTACATTTGAGCTTATAAAACTTAAAATTTTTTATTTATTTTTTAAATGGCCGCTCGTTTCGCATGATAAGACCCTTATTCATCGTCTGGTGTCGTTTAAAGCCCTTTGAAGCTGCACTGAAACTCTCATTTGGACCTTGAACCGTTTGGACCCCATTGAAGTCCATTATATGGAGAAATATGGATTATATATCTTCGACTGAAGAAAGAAAGACATGGACATCTTGGATGACATGGGGGGTGAGTAAATTATCAGCAAAAGTTTGTTTTAAAAGTGAACTAATCCTTTAATAAAGCGCTGTTAACGGCCACAAAGAAACGGTTTCACTATAGCATCGACAGTTTTCAACGATATATAGATTAAACTTGAATGTATTAGTGACTTCATAACTACATTGAGTTTTCTACAGCAGCCGTTCTCAACCGGTTTTATGCTGCAAGTTGCAACCCAACACAATACCAAACCTGTAACCAGCGTTAAAGCAACACCAAGTAACGTTTCCTCTGCGGTCGCCCTACAGGTTGGAAGCGGAATTGTCCATTACCGCTGTTAAATAATTTAGCCTAGCGCAGCCGACTGTCGCACGCGTACGCTCGTTGTTTATCGCCGCCGGCTTGAACGATGTCCACAGACAAAGTAGAGTATGCTGATTTCACGAGTTCACACTTACATCAATTAAACAGAGAAAAGATTATGCGTATTTGGCGTGCTGTCCGGGGGGAGGGCTCCGAGCTCGGATTTCTGCCCGAACCCAGAGTGCTCCCCCCGTTGTTGTAAGAGTATTTAGGACAAGAAGTGAGGAGATGGGGTGGTGGAGGGACGCTGTTAAACTGTCAATGAATTGAGGTAAGTTTGCTGTGTATATATACACACCTCTAACTTGTTGATTGGGTTGATTAACAGAGTGTGCTCCACTCATGTCTAATTAGGCTTGATAACCTGAATGTGCTCCACATGTGTTTAATTATCTGAACGTGCTCCTCCCGAACTTTGTTAATAAAACATCATTTCATGAAAGTGTGATGTCTTGCGACATCAGAAACAAAGAAAAACTAAATAATGACTATTGTAACGCTTGACGTAAAGCAAGTCAAATTTGTAGTTTTCTTACGTCTCATTAGAACTACAGAAACTCGACCCGATCTGGCAATCTTACACTCTAAAAAATGCTGGGTTGTTTCAACCCAAATTTGGGTCAAATATGGACAAACCCAAATGTTGGGTTAAAAATTTAATTAAAAGAATTTACAGTTGAAAGTTGAAGTTGGGTTAAAATTTTAAATTACATTTTAACCCAACATTTGGGTTTGTCCAGATTTGACCCAAATTTGGGTTGAAACAACCCAGCATTGTTTAGATTGTACATAGCGTGGTTATAGCAGATACAGTATAGGATCCAGAAATGCCTTTCCCCCGGTCACGACTTAATGAACCAGTGAAATGATTTTGGAAACACTATTTTAAGGTAAAAAAATCCTCCTTGGTGTTGCTTTAAATGTAATACAGATCATTTTCTTTTACAAAAAAACATTTTTGGGTCAAAACCCACAAGTTGAGAAGAACTTATCCCTTAAATAACACTAACCAGCCTTGTTTCTTGTCTCCATGCAAAACGCTGTGATTTTGGGCCACGGTGTCTGTCTCCTTTGTTCCCATTCATTAGCACAGACCATCTGGATCCGGGCAGGTGCGTAAAAATAAATCTACCTGTGCTTATTATGCCAAATAAACCACAGAGCCTCGAAACAAGCGTCCCTCGAGTGAATAACGATGCGCCGAAGAGGGTTTATTGAGGTTGACGATGTTCCTCAGCTCTGTGGTGGTTCATTGCATTCAAGGCTCCTCCTCAGGACTAACTGGTTTTCCTCACATGCAGGTAAAAGAGCAAAGTTTGCAGCCATCAACTAGCACTAGTTCTAGGGTTGGTAAAAACGGCCTCCAGCCGATGGTGATAATCTCTTACTGATTAACCCTTCGATTGCTGCGATAGTTTGGGGAGGAATAAAGGCTGGTTACAAAAACAACCACAAAACAAACCTGCTTTAAATCTAGAAACGGCAATGCTCGTAATAATGAAAGATTTTTTTCTGAAACTAGTCAATTCTCTGAAGGTGAATCAGATTTTAGTTCTTGTTGTCCAAAGCCTATATGATTCAAATAAATCATTCACGGTCAGAGAAATGACACACTCTTTCTTGCATGATGTGAAATGTTCAAGTTCTCAAAGAGTGTCAGTGTTTAAATACAATGAAATGACATTCGAGTGAGGGTGCAGATTGAATCCTGCACACTAACAAGACATCAGGACATTCTCACAATCGCATGATTTCACGTACTTTTTGACATATGTGAGAACAACATCAAGAATGAATGCTATTCTAAATATTGCTATACATTGAAATATATGCTAACCATCTGATCAATTTATAGATGACAGCACAGCATGACTAGTTGCAATTGCTAGAAGCTTATAAAAGCAACTAAAATGAGAAAATATAATATAAACTCTGATATCACTGATAAAATAACATTAATGAAGCATGTATAATGTAACATGAAATACAGAAGTTGTTTAGTTGCATCACAGAATATCTTAAATCCACATTGGAGCTCAGTGTAAAAACATGTGCAATGCGAACTGTAGTGTTGTAATCTCATGTGCTTTGATTGGATTTTAATGCAATTTGCCTTCGATTTTAATTATTGCTTTAAATCTGTAACTGGTAATATGGCAAAATTGTAGCCAGAACCCAGTTATCTTGTATATATTCATGTTTTAATTAGGACACTGAATATATTTCACAAGCTGTGGGACTTTAGAAACAGAATTATTGACCATTAGTGGCACCTATAGTTATACATATATATAAAATGACAAAATAATTAAACTAATAAAAAAAGATTTAATCTTATAGAGAGCAAAAACAATTAAAAAAACCCATCATGCTAATTCTTTTTTAAAGCAATGTGAACATGCAAACATGCAAAGATTAATAACACGACGAATACTTTTGTGAAAAATATCGTTCAAAATTAAAGAGAAAGCACAGTGTCCAGTATTAAAGCAGGAACGATTTCACACACTGGCATATCTTCAGACCGCTGTGATGAACTCAATAGACCAGTGGTAATGATCTGGATCCAAACAAATCACATTTGAATCAGTTTCCTCTATTAAACGAGCTGTGGAGCTATGAAGCTCAGTATTGTAGCGCCCCCTAGGGGTATTTCTATGAAATTTGGTGCATGTCTTCAGATTGTCCTGGCGTCCTTGCGCACCAAAATTTGTTAAGTTTGCACACTGAGTTTACGAGAAACAGACTTATTAGTCAATGTGGACTACGCATGAAAATTCAATTGAAACTTTAATCTGCAAAATACAAAAAAATTCCCTGAATAACTTTTTGGTAAGAAATGTCTAATGTGAATCAGAACAAATGTCAATTGCATGTTGAGGATGAAAAACTTGGTCATTTTCAATCGCAAATCTCACATAACGCCATATGGTCACATACGGTTGAGTTATATAGTGCATTTGCTTATTACAGCACCATAGTGGCTGAGTTACACTGAATTTGGTACAGTGCCTCTTAAAGAAGAATATGCACATGTCAAAACTTAATGAAGATCCGACACTCATATTTGAGATAACTGGCCGCTGAAATCGTTGGTGGCCATTTTAGCAGATTTGTCCAAATGACAGCTTAATCCTTAAATGCAGGTACATTTAAAAGGTTAGTTCACCCAAAAATAATAATTCTGTCTACAACTTGAACAAAAAAGAAGATATTTTGAAGAAAATGAGTAACTAAACAGTTGATGGACCCCATTGACTTCCATAGTGGGGGTCCCATCAACTGTAGTTCACCCAAAACTAAAGGGTGAGTAATTAATGACAGAGTTTTAACAATATTATTTATGATGTGAATGCTGTGAAATACTATCTGAAGTTCACATTTAAATTCATCCCAGCGGTCCAGAGAGATATGTAGTCAAACACTCTAAAAAATGCAGTTGTTTCAACCCAATTTTGGGTCAAATATGGACAAACCCAAACGTTGGATTAAAAATGCAATGCAGGGTTTGTCCATATTTGACCCAAACTTGGGTTAAAACAACCCAGCATTTTTCAGAGTGAATACGAATGGAAAATTTGATATAATGTAGCTGTAAATAGGTAAAAAATAAAGAAAATGCATATAACATGCTGTATCAAAGTGAGCTCACGTTTGAATGAAACCCAATTAAAGCACATAAGGAATTAAACTGGAAAAGTTCATTTTCAGAACAACAGCATGATTGTGTAATTCTGCTTAACTTACAGTATGTCAATACAATTATATTTTTTATAGCCCAAACCAAATTGAAAGCATGGTAGCTGGTTTATAGTATCTGGTTTAGTTTGATTGAATATATCTGGATCGCCTGACCTGGAGAGTTCCTGTGTCTCAAATCTTCCTCTTGCATCTCAATGAGCACTTTAGCATCAGCATCCAACATAGAAACGGAAAGGACAGCATCAGGATCCACATTCATCAGAAACAATGAGGGGAAAATCATAAACGCAGACATGGATTACAAAGGTCGTCCTTTCCACAAGCTGCTGCTGTCCACGTGATCCAGGTTTCAGAGCTAACAATATCTGACAATTGTACATTCATAAATCAAATGTCCACTTGAAACGAATCATTGAATTGGCACTTTGTGGAAAGTGTAACCAAAGCAGAGATTTTTTCATAAATTATATTTCAATATGTACAAACACAGTCTAACGATTCAAGCCAAAAGTTATGATTGGTATGTAAAATAATAAAATCATAAACTGTATTCATACCAATCATAAAACTAGTTATCTTATGATTACACATATTAGCTAATAAAATAATTCACTCAAAAATGTTTGTTCAACAGTTTCTCCTCAAAAACATTAGCATCAAATGCAACACTCGACTCTAGATTCTATATGATAAACCTGCACAAATAACACAGACAGAAAGAAATGAACATTGACCACAATACTGAACTCACATGCACAACAGAAAGACAGAATCAGATCCTGATGTGTGGAACTAGTAGGTTCGATCTGCACTCTAGAAATGCTGGGTTGTTTTAACCCAATTTCGGGTCAAATATGGACAAACCCGATTGTTGGGTGGAAAAATGCAATTTATAAATGAACAGCTGGGGATTTGACCCAAAATTGGGTTAAAATAACCCAGCATTTTTTAGAGAGTGGATAATGTAGTTTCTGTCTTCACACTTTCTGAGGATTCTTCAAAAAAATCTCAATTCAACTTATTCAAGCATAATAACGTCCCTTTGTATTTTGGGCATCCAAGAGCACGTCCAATCTACTTCAATCTTCAATTAACTCTTACAAAAAAATTAAAAAATTCCCAGCGTTTTTTTTTTTAATCATTTGCACAAAAAGCAAAATATTTGTGCTATATTTTGTTATTTGAATATCTAAACATGCAATCATATATTAAAATAAAGATCAGAGCCTCTGCTATTTTATTTTTATTCTAGCTTCCCAGCAAACACAGAACGTTCCCCTAACGTTCCCGAATGGTCCCATGAGGTTATTTTTTTGGGAACCAAAGAGGAACGTTATAGGAACGTTCCGTGTGGGTTATTTTTAGGTTCCATATTTATAACGTAAGGAGAATGTTTCGGGAACGTTCTGGGAATCAAAAACTAACGTTCCCAGAACCTAAATTTGTTTGCTGGGTTCATGTATTCTTGAGAACAAAAGCATTTCTAAGCAATACTTTACCGTTTGTTTTGATGAGGAGATTATGTACTCTTTCAGAATATGTGTAATAGCGGTATAAAAAGCGTAAAAAGCGTATATTTCATAGCACCCGGAGCTTCTGCGGACAGATGCAGTGACACGATGACTTTACCAGTTGCCGATTGGTTCTTTTATTTAGAAGGTGGGACTAAATCCGCCATATTGCGCACTGCACTTTCTCCCATTCATAAGTAATGTGTTTGTATATCTAAAGTCTTTGATGCCTAACCAGTAGGGCTGGGTAATAAATATCGATTTCTCGATATTAATCGATTCTCATTTTCACGAACCGATATCGATTCTTAAATCTCAAGAATCGATTAGTCATCCTGTTTCATTTGAATGAATGGGACATTGTATCGCGGCTGCGCGCATCCAAAAAAATCGCAATAATCTTTGTCCTTTGTTACTATTGATATGAAACAAAGTCTCAATTTTCAAATTACGTCCATTTTCTTTAGAAATTCAAAAACATAAATAACGTTTTGGCGCTGTGGTTAAACGATAGAGTACAACTTATCGAAATCCGTATCATGTCACATTGATTCGCTCAATCAGCGTTTCAACCGTGGAAAGACGTCAGTTAAACAGCTTGTAATCAATGTCATCGTCATATTTACCTCAGAAAACCCACATAAACTCGTTAGTCAGCTAGAAAAAATAACTCTAGAGAGGAGCATTTTGCTAAATATATACACCATATTACATATGCATTATAATCTTAATGTTCTTCAATATTTAATGCATATTTGAATAAATCTGGCAAGTTTTTATGACAGCCACCATTTAAATGTTTATATTTCATATGATCTTCTAATTATAAAAATAAATAAAAGTGTAATTTAAGTGTTTGTATAGCTACAAAACAGTTGATTATTACCTTCATATTAGGCTAATGAAGCCTATAGGCTACAACTAGACTCCCATAGTTTACAGCATTAGTTAAGAGATTTGATTCCCTTGAGAAAATTTGCCATTTATTATAACTGATATCCAAAATAATCAATAGTGAATCGAAATCAAAATCGAATTGCAAGCTTGTGAATCGAAATCGAATCAAATTGTGAAATTTGTGTCAATACCCAGCCCTACTAACCAGTTTAAAAAGATGTCAAGCACAAGACCAGGCCCTATAGTTTTTAATTCTCTGCCATTTTATCCAAGTTCACATACTATTGCGCTTCACAACTGTCAAACGAAGCGGAACAGACCTATACGAACACATAAACGAGTTCTTCTTCACTGAGCAACACATACAACAACCAAACCATGACTAAAGCGTACAGACGCAGAAGTGAGTGCACAGCAACGAGTCGGTTTGCCTCACCTTCTGAGTTCTGGCGGGACGCGGCCCCTTTAAAGCGGAAGGCTTGCCGGGCCCGACTGGACTGGCCGAAGCTGAGGCTCTTGGGAACTTTGGACGGGCTGTCCTCCATGCTGTTGGCACTGGGAGAGCGGCGGAGCGACTGCTGGCCCTGAGGAGAGCTCTTCCCTTTACTCGCAGAGTTCCTCGGGCTGGAGAACACGCGCTCCTTCAGGCTCACTTTCTGACTGTCAAGGGGACAAGCGACTCAAAGTTAGAGACAAAAATAATAATAAAGTTCCTGTGACATTAATAGAACGTTCCTTGAAATGTTTGCGGTCTTCAATAATGTTCTCAAAATGTTAAACGTGGACGTTAGTCTATTGTTTTTTTAAATGACTTTTTTCAGATCGTAGTCAAAAGTAACATTCCCATAATACTTGCAAAATGAGAACAAGTTTTCTCCAACGTTCGTTTTTAGAACGTTTAAAAAACGGGTCTTTTTTTTCTGTTCATAACTTAATAGGGAAAGTTATCCACTTACACATTCGGATGTTAATTGATATTTTTATTTTTGATCAAATGTGCTGAATATATCTGAAAAAGGTCGTAAAACACGTATAATTGACTAATTTTGCGTTGCATCGCGCATTACACTTGCATTAATTCAACAGCATGTCTTTTGCTCACATGCAAAAAATGCAAAACTCAAAAAAATATTTAGGCCTAAATTTGAGATTTATCATGCATTTGAAATATGCATATAAAATTCCCATCCGTTTAGACTAGTTTTAATAAAAAAAACAAACTAATAAACTTGATGCATATTCAGGTCAGATTTCAGCACTTGAACATTTTATTATTACACTCTAAACAATGCTGGGTTGTTTTAACCCAAAATTGGGTTAAATGTGGACGAACCCAAATGTTGGGCAACTTTCACTTTCAACTTTACATTTTTTAACCCAACATTTGGGTTTGAAATAACCCAGCATTTTTTAGAGTGTTACTATTTGCATGTGATTTTGTTTAAATAATCCTATTCAGATCAGCATAAATGTGTTCAGTTAAAAGTATGTACAGCATGTTAAAATGTATGAAATTGAAACAAATTGGATTTATTGATGATAAATACATAAACCACACAATATAAAACACAATCAGTGTATTAGTACTGTTACAGAAATCTGACCGGTTTCATATATGAATGACTGACAAAAATGCATCACATTTGTTTTTATGTTAAAACTGTAATCCAAATGAATGGAAACTTTATATACAGTACAATTCAAATGCATAATAAATGCATAAAATAAATCGTAATGTGCGTAGAGTGCATGATAATTGAATGTAAAGTTGTAATTTAGCGTCATGTATTTGTATTAAATTATTACTAATAAAGTACAATCAAACAGTTGTTCATATTCATATCTGAATAATCTGCATTGCATAATGTGTGTTAATGAAGGTTATTATGAAGTGTTTCGCTGGAGGGAAGGAGCGGGAGTTTCCGTGTTTCGTTGACATGTGGCCGGATATACTGATGTGCATTTGGCGTATTAAACGCTACACATCTGTCTGCACACACACAAGGTCACACTAATATACAAATACACACGTGCACATGCAAACAATGTGTTCATTGATGAGGACGTGCATCGCTGGACTGCTAAAATATTTGCACACAAACAACATCTCTAAAACACATCCTGTGCTGACAGAACGGATGACACGGAGATGATGCATGCAAAGGAAAGCATTATGACATTTAATATTAGAAGAAACACTGTTGTGGCGTCTGAGAAATATGATTTTCACTCACCTCGGAGAGGCTTCGGCTTCCTTCCTGTGTTGTGTTGGAACACAAGATCATACTTATGAATGTCCTTTAACAAACTACTGAACACAGGTTGTCTTTTTGAACTATATCCTACTAAATATTAGGGGGGTCATGACATGTTTTTTTACTTACAGGTGAAACTCGAAAAAATGTGCATTTATTTCAGTAATTCAACTTAAAATGTGAAACTATATTATATAGACTCATTACATGCAAAGTGAGATATTTCAAGCCTTTATTTGTTATAATTTTAATGAATTTGGCTTACAGATATGAAAACCTTTCACATATTCTAATTTTGAATTTGGGGTTTTCATAAACTATAAGCCATAATCATCAAAATAATAACAAATAAAGGCTTGGAACATCTCACTTTGCATGTACTGAGTCTATATAATATATTAGTTTCACCTTTTAAGTTGAATTACTGAAATAATTGAATGTTTCCACAATATTACAATTTTTCGAGTTTCACCTGTATTTTAATATGTGACTTGCACCACAAAACCAGTCACATGGCTACATTTTTAGAAATTGAGATTTAGACATAAATAAGCTTTCCATTGATGTGTGGTTTGTTAGGATAGGATAATATTTGGCCAATATACAACCATTTAAAATGTCAGAAAAATCGCCTGTGGTGCATTTATGCTCGCGATTGTGCTGCATTTACTCACAAAAATAAATATTTTATATTAGGGCTGTCAAACGATTAATCACGATTAATTGCATCCAAAATAAAAGTTTGTGTTTACATAATATATGTGGGTGCACTGTGGATAATTATTTTATATATATATATATATATATATATATATACACACACACGCATGTATATTTAAGAAAAAAATATTATTTATATATAAAATATTTATATAAATAATATTTATATAAATATTTATATATATAAAATATATTTATATATTTATTGATATAAATTATATATAAATCTACAGTATATACAGTATATACATGAAAATATTTCTTAAATATATAAAAGCATGTGTGTGTATTTATATAAAATAATAATACACAGTGCACCCACATATATTATGTAAACACAAACTTTTATTTTGGATGTGATTAATCGTGATTAATCGTTTGACAGCCCTATTTCATATATTTATGGTGGGAAATTTACAAAATATAGTCATGGAACATGATCTTTACTTAAAATCCTAATGATTTTTGGCATAAAAGAAAAATCAATCATTTTGACCCATACAATGTATTGTTGGCTATTTCCACAAATAAACCCGTACGACTCGTGACGGCTTTTGTGATCCAGGGTCACATGTGTTCCTTGAGTAATATGCAAATGTATTTGCCCGTGTGACGCCACTGTTTTTGGAGCTTTGTTTATAAAGAGCAGGATGGTTTTAGCTCTGAAACATGCATGTTTTAATGTATGTCTTGTATGTACCCTGTATTCATTTAGCTTGAGATGCCACAAATCTCTTCATTAACACATAAACACATTATTCATCTGAGAGAAGCAAAAATAAAAATGCATAAAGGATATTTTACCTAAAGGAGAGGCCGGATTTGCTCTTGAGGTTTCTCAGGAGATCGAGCTGGTTCAGGGGAGGGATGAGTCTGGAAAAACACACAGGAGCTGTTGGCACACACACGATGTGTGAAGAGGAAATGCTGCGCAATGCTAATTTGGACAGATGAATCGACAGAAAACTAACAAGGTTATTAATAAATATAGCCGACTGCTGACTGTGAACTTAAATTAAAGAGGGACAGAGAGAGAAGATCACGGCTAGAATGCATTCGATGAGTTTTTAACAAAAAAAAACATGAAATACAAGGACTAATACTCATAATATTTGCCACTAAGTAGAGATTCAAATGCAAACTAATTTGTTTTCTATTTTGTTATGCTCACCAAAAATACAATAAAATTGTTAAATAATATTACAATTTAAAATAAATGTTTTCTATGAAAATATACAATAAAATGTAATTTATTCCTGTGATCAAAGATGAATTTTCAGTCTTCAGTGTCACATGATCACTCTAATATGATGATCTGATGATCAAGACACATATATGATTATTACAGCTTAATTGTTTTAAAGGATGAAACATTTGAAATAGAAACATTCAAAATTCTATTTTTGATGAATAAAAGTATACATTAAATTAGAAGTTATTATGTCAAACACAATTATATTCCTTAAACACCACTGTATTGAGCAATCAGTGCAAAAGATGCTTTATATCTATTAATAAGAGTTTAATGCATGTGTGTATAAGCTTTGGCATCTACACACTCTCTCAATGACTCAAAAGCAGCATTAGCGGATGCAACACACACATATGTCATGCATAACGCCTGCGGATTATATATCAAAGCATGAGATATGATGTATAAACATGCCATCCGCAGGTCTAGATGAACACCGTTGACCTTCACTCTCTGCACAACACAAGCTGAAGGTCAGAGAGCAGATCGATGTTGAGACGTCTGAGGAGATCTCATCTGACGGCCCAGAGGAATGCTGGGATAGAGAGATGGAGGATGGGAGTGTGTGAAGCGGTGTGTGTGTACCTGTACATGGGCACCGATACGGTCCTCTCGTAATAGTCCCACGTCGAGTGCAGATCCGTGCGGTTCAGGTTTGTGGCGTAAAACCTCCAGGCAGCCTGAGGATCACAGTCACGTACATTACAGGAATAATAACTCACATACTGGTCTGAAACCATACAATGGTTTTCACTGAGAAACGTTTCATTTATATTTGCAACACTGAGAAA